ACTACCCACCTGAAAATGCCCTGGACTTGAGAAAGGAAAGGTGAGTGGCAAACTGGCTAAGTCTTGAAATAGACGAGCCCTTAATTGCATCGGAACCTGAATCCTGCGTGTTTCAGGAGTAAAGCATCAGACTGGCCTTGGACCACTTGAGCCCATGTGTTGTACTCTGCTCTGACAAGACCTAGTCCTTTAAAGGAGTTCATGCATGGCCGCAGGGTCGTAGGCCCAGTCGACACTTCAGACGACCTTCATCACGCTTCCGTCCCCCGCGAAATTGACATAATTGCGCCCGAGGGCAGTCTTCTTCGTCCTACCTTTGAACCGAACGGTTTTCTGAAGACCGTCGTGGCATTCGGAACCAGGTAGTCTCAATGTCTTTGGAATTCATTGCCAAACGGACATCTCAAGCTTCTCGACCCCTTCCACTCGCCTGCGTTCTCCACGCTCGGCCTGAAGCCAGGACAGGCGATAAGTAAAAAATGTCAGTTGGATCTTGGCACACCATCTTCGTAGATTGACAGACATGTTCTGCAAAGGCACACTCAACGCATGTATCGGGACGGATCCCTTGCGCTAAACCCTAGCATGGCACCAGTAACAGGCCCCAACAGAGACTCCCGCCTCTTGGCACTGGACATACGCATCTGCGCCTGCATGCAATATCAGGGCGTTAACAATTGGAACAGGGCTTAAGGGTGTATTCTACTCCAATTATCTCCGATTAAAACAAAGAGCCCCAAAGCAGTATTGGTCATGGCCCCTACAGTAAGGTTGTGGCTTCAGAGCATCTGCCCGCTCTAAAGCCCGGCACAGGTCACGTCCACAGAGACCGTTGTGAAGTCGCCGGGTGAAACACGGCTGCGCATCTAATATCGGGGCTTTGGTAATAACTTGAAAAGGGATATATGTATAGTGTAACTATACTAAGGAACCCTTAGGAAAACTGAGTGCCTACGTCTTTTAAAGCCCTGTTTTACTGCAGCTTTTCCAAGGCGCGAGGTGGTCTTTCGATACTACACCCTAAACCCTAACCCCCAAAACTCTAGATACTACCCCCTAAACCCTAAGCCCTAAAACTCTAAATACTACACCCTAAACCCTAAACCCCAAAACAATCTAAACCCTAAACCCTAAACTCCAAACCCTAAACTTAACCCCCAGCCACCCACTGAGGCCGGGGCCGTGAGCTGGCGGGCTCTCTCGATGTTGTTTTTCACCAACTCCTCTATGTAGCTCAGGGCTAAAAAAACCCTCACATAGCGACCTTCATAAGTAGAATATAGGGGGGTCCTTTAAGAGGGGTCCTATAAGGGTTACTATAAGGGGTTCTATAATATAGGGGCCTTCATAAGTAGAATATAGGGGGTTCCTTTAAGAGGGGTCCTATAAGGGTTACTCCATTAATCCCTAAACCCCTCGGATCTTTGAGGACAGACCGACGCTCCTCCCCTGACCCCAAACCCTATCAACCCTAAAAGACCCCCAGCCCTAAAAAAAACTACCTTTTAGGGTTTACGGTTTAGGGGTTTTTGGGTTTAGGGTTAAGGGTTCCATACGATTTCCTCATATACGTCCTTAAGAAAAGGGAAGCAAGCTATTGCCAAGGCTCCAGGTAATCCCCTCTAAACCCTAAACCCCCTAAACCTTCTCAGTTTGCCACACAGTCGGCTCCTCGTTCACCTTGTCTCCACTGCGCCGGCAGCAGCTCAGGACCTGCTCTCAGTGCCAATTTTAGCGCCTTACAAGATATTTAAGGGTGCCTTTTAGGGTTTCTTTGAGGGGTTTATAGGATTTGGCGGCCCGTATAAGTAGACAAGGTTGTTTTCCGGGTTGTACATGGTTACCTGTGTATGTACTTGCTTGTCTACCTGTGTCCCCGTCTTTGAACCACTATACATGGGTGGTTGTCAAAATTATGGTCCCTTTTTGGGTCCTTATTATAATACGGCACCTATTATTTAGGGTACCCCAAAAGGGACCATAATTTGGACAACTACCCACATGTTTGCCTAGACTTGAGAAGCATCTCTCGAGTCGGTACTGTTCTTAAGTGTCACTCTCATTCTACCCACAGTCACTCACATCACCTTCGCCCGTGGAGGCTGACTTTAAACGCTCAAAGCACACCTAAAGATGTCCTATAGAACCCTAAACCCTAAACCCTAAACCGTGAACCACCCCTCCATGTTTGCAACACCGATGCACAGGCGCTTCTGCTCGCCCTGCCATCCTCGCCTCGCGCGCATGTGCCAAGCCATCCTGCAGATGCACGATATCTAAAGGTTTTGGCTTTCAAGGCTTAAGTTTTAGGGTTTAGGGTTTAGGGTTTAGGGTTTAGGGCTTAGATCAGAGTTTTGGACATTTTCGGGCTTTGGGGCTCGGAGCTTATGGTCTGTAGGCTTTCGGAAAGGCCAAGCAGCTCGCGGTCACTCAAGCCAACTACTACGAAGCCCTCTCCAAGACTCCCAAGCCTGGCTGGGTTTAGGGTTTAGGGTTTAGGGTTTAGGAAGTGAAGGCCTCGAGATCACCACGGGTAAAGTAGCCGTTCGCGAGGGCGAAGTGCGCGGAACTCGGCGGGCAGAGCTTGGCAGGAATTGCTGATGGCTCAGCGATTTCGCAATACACATATGTAATACATACCTTTTCTCGACACTATACTATGATCTCAAAGGCTGGGGCTTGCAAGGATAGTTAAGAGCGCTCGCAACTCCAAGCGAACTGCATGCTGTCATTTCAACAGCTGTCGTTGATATCGCTCATTTATGTCAACGGCTCCTCCGTTGCGGATACGTCTTGGCTTCATACGTGATATGCTGCGAGAGGACACAAGTTTATCGCGTGAGAAGCTGCTTGGAGACCGATCCGGCGACGGCAACCACAAAAATAGAGTTGATAGACGGATTATGTCATCTGTATACACACACAGATGGGTAGACAGACAGATGGGCAGACCTTCGCAGATGCAGGAATATTGATCAAGGTCATCGGCATGGTCAGGTTTTGCCCTCCGCCATCACCATCAACACCATCATCATCGTCATCATCGTTAGCATCAGCCTGAGCACCATCGCCATAATGTTTCTTGTTGCTGACGACGCTGCTGCGATTATCCTGATGATTACGCCCGGCGTTACTATACCGTCGGAGTCACAACCACCATTCATCTAGCAGCAGAAGCATCATCAACATCATCGCCAGCACAAGCGCCGCCATCCATCATTATAGCGTAATCACCAGCGGTTAGGCGAATCTGTGAAGCCCGAAGTTCACACTATCTGAAATCCTCAAGCCCACCAAACTCTGCACCTTAAGCATCAGCCAGCAGCCGTTCACACTCACTCTCTCTCGCTCTGTGGTGACGAATCAAGCAGATCAAGCTCCTCGCTGAAGTCCAACAAAGTCGTCCGAGTCCTTGTAGAGCCCAAGTGCTGCCTGCCAATGTCAGAGCCATGGCAGATGACCAGCATCTCCCCAAGGCTTTCCGCATCGTCTCGCATCACGACGCATGCAACAAAGCTGCACCAGACTTCTCAATCAAGTTTCGAAGCAATGCTTTGGGATTAGACTTGACCCTGTCGGGAGCGAGTCTACAAGCTTTAGGCAAACCAACTCGGCTCCCGAGAGACTAGACTCTTATTTCAAAGCCCGGCTGCCACACTCAAGCTGCTTGCCTTGCCCTTCCATAGGTTCTGAGGACTCGGAGTTTCAAAGCCCGGCTGCCACACTCAAGCTGCTTGCCTTGCCCTTCCATAGGTTCTGAGGACTCGGAGGTTTAAGACCTTCGGGTTGACATTGAAGCCAGCCCTGGCCCTCGTGATAGTTAGAATAGGGTTTTGGGGGGTATATTATACTATACTTATAGTAGGAACCCCATATTAACCACAACCGCCTGCAGGTACCGCATGCCCTCGGCACTCATGGGGTTCTCCGCAAGGAGCGCTTGTCCAAGAACCTCAACATGCACAGCAAGGGCGATGAGCTATAATGCTCATGATGGCTGCATACATTAGGGTAGTTCTCTAAATTAGGGTCCCTTTTTGGGTCCCCATTATAATACGGAACCTTTATAACAAGGACTCCCAAAAGGGACCCTAATTTAGAGAACTACCCATTAAGGAAGTCTGCGCTTCAGAGGGGGAGACTGCAAGTGGAAGACTTCAACGGCAAGGCAGGCACTGCTTGCTGAAACCTTTATAGATGACGGCCACTAGATAGTGGTCCTTTCAAGAGGGGTTGAGGCTTAATTCACTATTGACCTGCTGTACCAGACTGTCTCTGGACTACAAGGATAGTCCGCAGTTCTACTGGTGGTGACTCCTATGTTGACCAAAGCGTGCATCCAGGCAACAACCATGGCAGAGGCTTGTCCAGCCGAGTGCTGCCTGGGTCATGAGCTGCTCCTACTACTACTGCTACGGCTACTGCTTCGGCTACTGCTACTGCTGCTGCTACTGCTGCTGCTACTGCTACTGCTAATGCTAGTGCTATTGCTGCTGCTACTACGACGACGACGAGTCGTCGCAGATGATGATGTGTTGCTGCTGTTGATGGTTGTTGTCCACGCATTTGTTGTTTAGGTGGTCGATGCCATCGCCACCGCCTTGTTGCCACTATCCATCAAAGGCACGATGATGCTGATGACGATGATGGAAGAGTTAGTTCGGCAGGGTCCGGGTTTGCAGTGGAAAGACGGGCGAGATCGGACTTTGCGCACGGATTGTCAAACCTGCCTGAGAGGGAGCGAGAGAGAGAGGCGGAGAGAGAGGGAGAGAGCGAGCGAGAGCGAGGGAAGGAGGGAGGGCGGGAGGGGGCGAGCACAGAAAGAGAGGGACAGAGATAGAGAGAGGGCCAGCGAGACTACCAGCCGGGAAGCTTCTCGCGACACCTCTGAAGTTGCTCCTGCGCGTCAGGAAGCTATTTACCCCTGAAACCCCGGCATGACGTTGAAACGCGAGAGTCCAAACTTCGGACAAGGATCTTGAGCCAGGCTTCTCTGTAATGCATAGCAGCACAGAAAGAACAACAGCAAGAGCGGCAGCAGCTGCAACGACAACGACAAGAACGACAGCAACGACGACGACGACGACGACGACGACGACGACGACAACGACAACGACAACGGCGGCAACGGCAACGGCACGTCAACGGGGGCAGGAGCAGCAGCAGGCGTAGTAGGAGTGGGAGCAGGGCAGGGCAGGAGCAGGAGCAGGAGCAGGAGCAGGAGCAGGAGTAGGAGTAGGAGTGGAAGTAGGAGTAGCAGTAGCAGCAGCAGTAGCAGCAGCGGTAGCAGCAGTAGCAGTAGCGGCTGCAGTAGCGGTAGCGGTAGCGGTAGCGGTAGCGGTAGCAGTAGCAGTAGCAGTAGCATTCATTCCCCCCACGCCGCTGACGTCCAAAGTCG